TTTTTAGAAAAAAAAAAAAATGGGGGGTCCCCGGGGGGGGGGGGGGGAAATCCCCCCCCCCCCCCCCCCCCCCACACACACACACACACACACAGTTTGGAGGAGCCCCTTCCTCTTCTCACCTCAAGGCAGTCTATTTCTTATCTCCTACATATTAAGCATATTAACAATCTGTGTCATAAACTTTTCAACTTACTTGCCATTCGGACCACCACTTTTCTATATAAAATCAATAATATTTATACTGCCTGGTCCCAATCAACAACCGACCTCTTAACATCTGGATACGCCAATGCAACTCAACTAATAATACTGCCACCCAGAATTTCAGGGTTAACTGTTCTGTATATTATAAGTTGGTTACAACTGCTTGTCACCCACTGTCTCGGATGCGCCTCGATGACTACAATCTTGTATATCCTATACAGTGGACGACTCGTGTTGTAACTGTAGTAAAGTAGGCCTACTACTTGTATGATGACCTATAAACTGTACGCCACATACCTTCTGCAACACGACAAATAAATTCTGATTATATTACTCGTTTGTATATTAATACACCGAATTGGTATTGATATATAAAGAGACAAAATTGCTGAAGAGAACTTACCAAACGCTGGTCACACTAGTATTACCATGTATGGGTGATCGTGTATTTTGCACTGGCTGCATATGTAGGTCACAGCTATAGGTCACAGATGGGGAACAAGTCTCAGGATAACCTGATTTAGGGTGTACGTGGGCTTAATGTGTCCATTGATGCGTAATATGCACTTGTATGTGGATGGTTTCATGCATTCTGGCTAAAGCACTTTGACTTCACCCAGGCCCGTAGTCAGTCATTTCAGGGGGGGGGTCGTTTTCTAAAAAAGTGGACCTTTTACCATTTTAATTTAAAAATCCTCAAGTACATAGATCAAATTTTACCCAGGGTGGACCTTTTCCCAGCAAAAAAGGTGGTTCTTTCGACCCCCCGCCCCCCCCCCCCCCCCCCTTGACTACGGGCCTGTGACATCGTTATTTCTGTTGCCGAAGTCGCATGTCGGGCTGAGCTGTAGTAATCCGTTATCAGAGGGCATATATGGTTAGATAAAAAACAGGTCCCAAACTTGTTGTTATAGACGTGTTGTCTGTATAAAATAAGGAGCAAGGAGGGGTGGGGGCGGTGCAGGCCGGGTTTATATATATCCGAAATTATAGACCGCATTCAGAACAGTGGTCTAACTAGTCCGATGGTCGAATATGGACGACCCACTTGAATACTTTCCCAGGGTACTTTATTCAGAGTCTCTTAGCGGATAAGACGGCAAGCTTTTTAGCGTGTCGCCGTGTTTGACCCGCGGACTAGTTAGTTCAATGTTCTGAATGCAGCCTTAGTCAATATAGTTTGCTCCCCCGTTTTTTAACCACGACTGTCGTAAGAACCAAAAGAACGGAAGCAGGGATGCTTAGGGACACTGCGGGGTTGGTTCTTTGAGATAAATGTATATACGTCAAAGTCAAATCAACAAAATAAAGAAAGTCATTACCGTGACAGCTGGTACGCCTGACACTCGAAATGTGAACTAAAACAAATAGAAACAAACAATTAAGTAAACGTGATGAGAGATTTTCAATGTATCTAGGTCCATTAAATACAAAAAAAAAAAAAAAAAAAAAAAAATCGAAAAATGAAGTTAAAGATATATTCACGAATTCTACTTTTTTCTAAAACTGGCATCACTGTGGTCGTAGAATAAGAAAGGAGGCACAAGCATCGCTTTGGTTGCAGACAGTTTGCGACACAAAGATTTTTTTACTCTCAAACGGGGCCGTACTACGGGACGCAGAAACGACGCCGTCCAGTGTAAAGAGTCTTAACCATGACCCCGAACAGTCACCGCCCAGTGAGCCGTGTTACGTACGTCTGAGTTGACCGGGGGGGGGGGGGGGGGTCGGTTTTTGCCCTACAAAGGTTCATTTTTATTTAAAATTTGAACTGCGTAAACACAGCCCGATCAACATATTTTCATTCTGATAAGCTGGAAACAGGGTGATTTGTTACGCTCAGATTTGTGCGCATAATCGATGTCACATACGATACTCGATCAGGCGTCCAACTTTAAGCTAGGGGTGACAGAGCCTGATTAGGGATAATAAAGTAGACAGCAACAATGCCTAGATATCTGTATGTTCGGTCCAGACTCACACCGCGAATCAGGGAGAAATGAACCCTGAATCATGAATACAGGCACACACTGTGCAAAGTGCTACTAGTGTACTTATTGCTGCAGTGATTAATTCTCGTTGAATGCAAAATTATCTTCAGATCCGAGTCCAAATATCCGAAATATATGAAATGTAAACCCTTATGCCCAACCAAGGCAGGGACCTACTGCACATGCAGCCTTGTCAGGTCACCAGCTGCACTGCTCAGTCGGCTGTTCACCAATGCAGGTCCGTACATTGTAGCCACTGGCCCGAAGTCAGTGAAGTAGGTCGTGAAGTAATTATTATCTAGTCCGGCTCCCACAAAAGAAATACAGAGTAGGCCTATTGGGTTACATTTTGACAACACATAGGGGCGTACCCCACATCCTTGTAGATAGTAGGCTAGCTACTTCTGACAAGGTAACAAACATGTCGGGATTCAAGGTGATAGCTCAGATAGTTTTATATTTGAGCAAAGCAATGGCAGACCTTGTTGATTTGGTCACGTGGATCATTTTCAAAAGACGCCTGACACCTCTAACGGAAGAGAGTTTGCTTGAAGGTTTCACACGCGAGGAAAAGTATGACGTTAACGGACTGCTGTCTACTGCCGTGGTGGATCCGGTGTGGTATGACGGTTTTGGCGTTGTTGTGAAATGTTTTCGGGAGGATCCCACCATTTGTGCCCTAGGTCGCATCATTATTGACATGCAAATGAGAAGACTGCTTAGAAATAGGCTTAATATTTACAAATCCCTCTCTGGACACGATTATCCTGAGGTATGTATATTATAAGATGGCTTTTGGTAAACTGCTTGCGATCCCTTCTTTCTTTGGGTTTTTGTTTACTGTCAATGTGTAATTCTCTCTCTCTCTCTCTCTCTCTCTCTCTCTCTCTCTCTCTCACACACACACACACACACACACACACACACACACACACACGTGTAGCTCCATATCTTTTGATCCTCTGTACTTGAACATTCTCACTCTAGGTTTTCAGACTGTAAAGATCCAGTATTTCTTAGCAGAGTGTTCCCATTGGATATTCTTTATTGGGGTTATCCATAATGCCTTGTCTTCGATACTCTTATTACCGCCTTTTGCTTCGTAATTTTCAGATCTCTCTCTCTCTGTCTCTCTCTCTCTCTCACTATCAGTTTTGCCAGTTTCAGATATCGCGCCCAATATTCCTAATTGGTCCCATGCGATCGGGAACTACTTTACTCCAAGAGTTGTTAGTTCTAGACGACCGTCACACATCGCCGCTGTTTTATGAATCAAGATACCCCGTCCGGATATCCAATTCCGACATTGTCAAGAGAGTAAAAATTTTTATGGGTAATGTTGATGTTGCCATTTAAAATGCTCGTGCTTTTAAGAGTTTTGACCCTTTGATTTTACAATGAATGACTCTATAATAGTTGTTTAATGGCCATTAGTCTTGACTTCTTTGAACTAGTTTGATGTGTCTTGGTTTTAATGAATAAGTCACTATTTAGTATATAGCCGTTGGTTGGTTACTATAGGCCGTGTATTTATCTTTTTCTTACTTTTTGCAAACCGATGTCATTTCCGATGCAGGTGTGGACCTTAGGCCTATCTTATCACCGACTTGTGAATCAGTAGGGGCCTAAGCGTCTAATTAAACAAACACGAGTATAATAAATATTAGTAGATTTTTTACTGCATTGTATATTTTATGTTGCTTTTATTTTCATTAGTATTTTTACTTACTCCAGACATTAACCACTTCCTCTTCCCATCGCTTCGGAGCATTCACGATCTTGGCCATGACAAACCGCACGAGTGCTGCCACCTTTTGGAACATTCTTTTATTTCCAAATATGTCACAATGTGCTGTCAGGGCACTAATGACTACATTAAATGGTTGAGGACAAGGACCACCGACGATATGGTCAAAGTTTACCAGTTACACAAGCTACAACTTCAATTGATTCTAGGGTCCAGATCAAGTACGTTTTTGAAATATATTATTTTTCGAAATGTTTTTTACTTAAGATTTTACTTTATTCAAGGAAAAGCGATTTAGTGAATAGTATGAAAGAACAGCTAATATTATCCTAAACGAGTTGGTAGTAATCTTTTATTAAAAGGTCAAATGAAGTGAATGAATACCCTAGAATAAATCATTTCTAAAAGGCGTTTTTGAACATAGTGAAATAATATTATTAAATGAAATTAAGTTTGTTTTCCTTTTCAAGGTCCAACGACACCACAACAGAAACTTGTGTTAAAAGATTCCATCCACTGTTCAAACGTAGAGGCGCTGTTGACGGTTTATCCAGACGCAATTTTCGTGCACACCTATCGCAATCCAGTCACAACCGTGGCATCCGGGTGTTCCATGGCGGAGACCTTTCGTAACTTTTACTGTAAAAATGGTGGAATCAATTTCAAAAGGCTTGGTCATCAAATGTTAACTACCCCTTTGTTCAACGGTGGTAACGAGCTTGTAAGGTATAGAAAGAGTCACCCCGAACACGAAGATAAATTCATTGATGTACAATACCAAGAGCTTGAAGACGACCCGATTAGTGTCTTGAAGTCGGTGTATGAAAGAGTAGGGGTCAAAATGACAGATGACACCTTGCGGAACTTAGAAGCATATGTGAAGGAACATCCTCGACACAAGCATGGCATACATAGGTACAACCTTGAAAAGTATGGGATTTCTGAAAGCGACGTTCGAGAATATTTTAAAGAGTACATTCAATACTTTGAAAAGTAGTTTTTTTTTCCTGATGAAGAGTGTCTGGAACATAAGCAGGGTTTGATCGATGAATTATAAATATTATTTTTTCAAAAAGAGTTATTTAATCTGTAGTAATGCTGTTTCTACGATATTTTTTTTTCTGTTTATTTTTCTTCATATAACGTTTTTTAAATGACGAATGCCAGTTAACTAAGGATAAGGCGGAATAGACATAGTCGCAAGACAAGCATTTACATTAGAAGATTCACTTATTACGAATGATCATGACACATCACGGTAGAAAGTCTATCAGCTCAGAAGTGGGGATAACTTAGTTGGAATTTATACCTAATGTACTGGCGAAGAGTAACTTTCGTGATCACAAAGTGATCTAACATTGGCTTGCTAATATAAGATGCATGTATTTGAATTAATTATTGGTATATTTATTTTTATAATGATATAAGTACATATATTATTATCGAGTAAATAATCTGGCAACCAATGAAGGGTTTGAATGAATAGTCAGATAAAATCTACTTGCTGATATATATTAAAATATTGATAAATATTCAAACCCGAGATAACATTCCATTTTATTCATTAAAGCAATTTAAACAACTGAATGTTTTAAAAGTTTACCGGTCGGCTTTGAAACTTGTATGTTGTACTTGTTATAATGCCTCCCATTGTTTTTTAATGCTTTGGTCTTTTGGATGTTCAGATATCCGTAGTGAATATTTAACATTTTATCTTGTTCCTTGAAGGTAACGTCACAATTACGTCAATAAAGATTTTTGTTCTAGCACATATATGGCAGTCGTTTTAAGTATCAACTTGAATTGTAATTTGATAATTATGGTACTTTTGCAAACGCAAGAGACTGCAATAAATCATTATTACAATGATAAAGATGTCAGTGTGTGTGTGTGTGTGTGTGTGTGTGTGTGTGTTCGTGATTGTGTGTGTGAATGAGTGATGTAGAGTGATCCATTTTTCAATCAATTTTTTAATTGCCTGATGCTTGCTATGGTAATAATCTGAAGGATTATCTGCGTACCAATGTAGGCTACTTATTACATGGGTAGCGTTGTAAAGTTATCTGCCATCTACAGGAAGTCTCCACGTTTATCGACCGACGACCCCGTTTATTAGTGGGATTGTAGTTTGCGGAGGAAATTAGATTAGTTTGCTAGGGTGGAAATTTCCCCATTGCAGAGCCTTTCTTTTACCGGACTAAGGCTTAGGTTATTTATCTTTCAAGATAGTGTTTTTGTAGAACTTGGATTTAAATGGGCTTTGCCAATAAGCGCTTAAAATATATCGATCAGTGCAAACAAACATTCAAATGGCCTGTGTATACAATTTTCGATTTTCCGGTTGCTCTTTCTTCTGAGTAATTTGTTAAAGCATGGAAAATAGTGGAAAACTCTGCTCAGAGTAAAACATGTCTGAATGTAACCGTTAAAGCTGCCCGTGGTCTTGGACATAATAATGTTATTAGGTCCAAGCCGTGGTTCAACAACAGAAAAAGTAATGAACGTTACTTGCTGCCTTAATTCCACGCACTGCAAACAAATTAAGTACTGTGCTTCCTTTATCAAACCGGGATTATCAAGTATAGGTATCTTTTCCTATCCGTAAAACATTTTTATTGTTATACTGTTCTTTTGGGTGTCCATTAACCTTTAATGTATTCACTGCCATTCAACGGCTAATAAAAAGCATTACCATGTACATCCAGGGTCAATACTATAAATTTGATACACGCCACTTTCTCCATGGTCACTAATGGACAGGAAGTATCGCTCAATACAAAACGCCAAGTCTGAAAATATCTCTTTAATTCCATTGATCTCATTGAGCTTTTTATTACACTAATATTATGTCGCAGATTTGTAAAAGCGCACGTGTGATTTTGTCCTTTTTAGAGTGCCGTATGCGAGAGCCTCTTTAAACAGCGACCGATACAAATCCCATTAGATAAACCGAAAACTAAATGGAATATATGTCTCGAATGACACACATTGATTTTTAGCAACAACAAACTTATAAAGACATTGGGCGATACTGATACTTCATTCTCTGTCTCGCAACGATCACAGTTCAGCGCAGTAAATAACACAATTTCGCATCCGTGTATTAAATATATGCGCACATTTATCATGTATTTGAAGTAGCTTTAAACGGCTTCATCTGCTGTAAGTTTATATACTGGCAAATTAGTCCCAAAGACACTGATTTGATGCTTCTCAACACACCGCTGGCGTTCTTGACATCAGAAAAAACATGAATGAGCGTTTGGCCGATTTGGCGATTGCCGCCTTTGCGACGTTTATTCTTGTGGAGGCAGGGAGCGACCGGTTTTGCCAAACATTTGGAGAGCTCATTTACTGCCAGGTAAGTATTGAAAACCCTGGGGGGGG